CACATTCACACCTAGGTGTGAATTAATTATAATAAAGATTTATTTTGTGTTAAACACCTCTGCCTGGCGTCCTTTTCATTTCAACCCGGATCCAACTGTTACTGTCCCCCACCCTCTTCGCCTAGCTTTCATGTGGGGACGTAACAATTATTGTCTGCTACCTGCTGCCGTTAGCTGTTGTCTGTTCCCTGCAAGGCCCAGGATATGACCCACGATCTGGTCTTGATTATAAATATTAGTCATCAGTAAATAATACTGCTTTTCTATTTTCTGGTCCTAGATTGTTTTCCCTTCGGTGGAGGAGATTGGCTCTGCTGTGGCCAGTGATACAGGTTGATTACAATTTATTGACCCTGAGAGAGATGGCTTATTGTCTCCAGTGGAATGCAATTCAGCTCTGATACGATAACAGCTTTCTTTCATTTGTTTCATTTTCAGAATGGGCGTGGGATGCCCAGCCGTTGAATTTAAACAGTGCCTTCTACGAGGAGTCTCTCTCTCAGCTTCTGACAGGTAAACAGCTGTCGTAGCTTTTTTTCTTTTAATTGTCACTTAGCTTCCTGTCCTCATCTACTTCTGTAACCTCTATTCCTCCAGCAAATCTGAGTACACCAGCGTAAAAGACTTGTTGTGTGGAGCTGAATCACGTCAGGAATTTTATTTTGACATCATATTAAGAAATTAAGCCGCCTTCTGCCTCTCTAATTATAAAAGAAAGATTAAAACAATCAGAGAAGTCACAATGAGAGGCATCCTTAAACCTCCTCCTGTTGGTTTAAAAGCTGCACAGTTCCTTTTGTCAGTTGGACTGTATTAATTTGTGTGAATCATTTTTCCATACTAATCAGCTGAGTTGTTATTATCAGTTATTGCTAAAATCTCAAACAGAAGTCTTTTCAGCTGTAATACTGTAGGTTTTCCCCCAGAGTCTGACACCAACCCCAGCACAACCTCCCAGATGGATGACCAGTCTGAGCCTGACTCCCTGCCAGAGAAGGAGAAGCAACCAGACGCTGGAGTTGGAGGTCCAACTGCAGCCCGATCCAGCAACAGAAGGAGAAAGGTCTGCCACATTTAAGATTTTTTTTTTTCTTCAAATTCTAGGATGCATCTCCGTGAGCTCATGGGAATGTTAAAAAAACACTCTACCAAAATAATTTATTACCATCCTCTAGAGAATTTTATTCTGTGCAATTTTTCTCTTGCAGCCAGCACCAAAACAAGAACTTGGAAGCGAACCTCAAGCTTGCTCCAGCAGCCGAAAGAGGAAGGTATGCTGTTCCCATAAACTGCATGATTCACTTGTACAAATGTCCATTTAGAAGCAACGATGGCCTTTTTTTTTCTTAATCATTTGGAGGTCATAACATGTTCCAATCTAATCTACTGTTTAATTCTGCTGGATGTGAGCTTAATCACATTTAAGGACTTGTACTGTGTGTGTGTGTGTGTGTGTGAGAGAGAGAGAGAGAGAGAGAGTGTGTGAGAGTCTATATAATATATCCTGGGGTAAACCTTTCTGTTCCCCCAGCTGCCAGAAGAGAGTGAACCTGTGAAAAGGTCGGCACGGTCTGCTGCCAAGTTGGCCTCTGGGAAGATGAAGGTGAGTTGGATGAGTGTGCTTGTTTGATTTCTCCTTCCATCACTTCACTGAGGGCTTTGCAGAACTGTCTTTTTACAAGCTGTCATGTAGATGATGGCTACACAATCTGACTATCACTTAAGGTCATAGTGAGTATGTATTCATGTTAATATGGCCCATATAGAGCTGCAAATAGCACATCTGTGATATCATGTATAGTGGTAATGCTGATCCTCAATCATAAAGTTGTGCATGAGTGGAGAGCCAACACTGCTGTCACAGATAATTACACAAAGAAGTTTGATGAGACAAAGTGAGATTGTTTGTGCTTTATATCGTAGTGGTGAGGTGTATATTGTGGCACAGAACCAGAGGAGACTATGTTATGGTTTGATCTGACTATGCAATTTCCACACCATGAAGGTACTTTAATAATGGGTTCTACAAGG